ATCATTAATCTTATTGGATCCTGGTGTAATTATCGTTGTTTGATTACGCTTCTTGGTGGCTGTGGCTTCGGTTCCGTGTTCGATCCCAGTGAACCCGATCTAGGGCATGACTTAGCTTAATTTCGCTTCTTCTTTATTTTATTTATTCATTTGTTTATTTACTTGTTAACTGTCGGATGTTGAAGTCCTTTTCCTTTCTCCTTATTTTTTCGTATTTTCGTATTTCCTTATTTCGTATTTCCTTCTTTTTCCCCTTTCTCCTAATTTTTTATTTGTTCTCTCTCCGCTCTTCGTTCTATTTTATCCCTCTGTTATCATTTCCTGTACGTGATTAGTGCTTGTCTCTCTCTCTCTTTTTTTTTTGCTAATTGTTATCTCCATGTTTCCTTTATCTTGTTTCCTCCGTTTTTTTTTTCGTTGTGTTCGGTCTTTATTATGATTTTGTTTTTTGTTTTTCATTATGATACGTTTCTTTTGTTTCGATTTTAAGCTTTACATGCTGGATTTCTCTCTCTCTCTCTTTCTCTTTCACTTTCTCTCTCTGTCTTTCTCTTTCTCTCTCTCTCTCTCTCTCTCTCTCTCTCTCTCTCTCTCTCTCTCTCTCTCTCTCTCTCTCTCTCTCTCTCTCTTCTCTCTCTCTCTCTCTCTCTCTCTCTCTCTCTCTCTCTTCTCTCTCTTCTCTTTCTCTCTCTCTCTTCTCTCTCTTCTCTCTTCTCTCTCTCTCTCTCTCTCTCTCTCTCTCTCTCTCTCTCTCTCTCTCTCTCTCTCTCTCTCTCTCTCTCTCTCTCTCCTCTCTCTCTCTCTCTCTCTCTCTCTCTCTCTCTCTCTCTCTCTCTCTCTCTCTCTTCTCTCTCTCTCTCTCTCTCTCTCTCTCTCTCTCTCTCTCTCTCTCTCTCTCTCTCTCTCTCTCTCTCTCTCTCTCTCTCTCTCTCTCTCTCTCTCTCTCTCTCTCTCTCTCTCTCTCTCTCTCTCTCTCTCTCTCTCTCTCTCTCTCTCTCTCTCTCTCTCTCTCTCTCTCTCTCTCTCTCTCTCTCTCTCTCTCTCTCTCTCTCTCTCTCTCTCTCTCTCTCTCTCTCTCTCTCTCCCTTTCTGTCTCTCTCTCCTTTTCTCTATCTCTCTCCCTTCCTCCGTCTTTCCTTTCTGCCCTCCCTCCCTCTTCTCTCTTCCTCTTCATCTTTATCAACGCCCCCTCTTCACGATCATAAACCTCTTACTCCTTCTATCTTCCCCTCACCCTCCTTTTATCAGACTTTCCCTCTCCCCCTCCCCTCGTTCTCTCCACCTCTCCTCTCCCTATCCCTCCCTCTCTCTCTCTTTCCCCCCTCGCCATCCCCCCCTCCTCCCCCCCCTCCCCTCCCTCTTCTCCTCTCTTCTCCTCTACCCTCCCTCTTCTCCTCTCCTCCCCTCTTCCCCCTCTCCCCCCTCCCCTCCCCCTCCCCTTCCCCTCTCCCCTCTCTCCCTTCTCCCTCCCCCTCAACTCGTACACAGAGTGGATTCATTGACTTCAAGATGTCTATAAGAATCGCATATAAACGCGGTTGTGTGTCGGGCCATCTGAGAGGGTTCGGCAAAACGGCGTTTGTTTGTGGGGACGGGTGATGTGTGTGCTGGTGTGTGCGTGTGTGTGTGTGTGCGTGATTGTGTGTGCGTGCTTGTGTTTGTGTGAATGGAAGGTCTGTGTTTTTTTTTTCTTATGTGCTTGTTAATAGAAGGTTTGATTACTCCTAAGGTAGATGGCGTGAAGAGATTAATAAAATGAGAGATAATATTTTGGTTGAACGGTGCAGGCACACACACACACACACACACACACACACACACACACACACACACACACACACACACACACACACACACACACACACACACACACACACACTCCCTCCCCCTCAGGTGAGCTCCGATGCCCCTGAGCCTCCTCCAGAGCCCGGGACGCGCCCCGTCGAGGCCCAAAGCCCCCGGTTCGTACTCACGCCGTGGAGGTGGTCGCAGTCCTACTACAGATGACGTAACAGAGGTTTCGTTAAAGTGCCACAAATGTATGGAGTAGGCGAGCTAAGTATATGGTAGGTAAGAACCAGTGCCAATAATATGCCCACGAGGTGGCGTATGGTGCCCTGAGTTGACACTTCACTTTTGATTCCTGTTTCTGGATCGATTAATCGGCAGCCGCTTCTCCCCGCGTGTGGCAGAGGACACGGCCAGTGCCGCGACGGAACGGCACCGTGAAGTGGCACTGTGTCACCGAACCCGAATCACTTTGTCTGGGATGTTAAGTCCTTAAAAACCGGGAACAACCCTCGAAGTTTAAGCACACGTGTTGGCAACGTCGGTGTGGGTTGCCAACGCAGGAAACTTGTGGGGATATGTGGCACCCGCGAGATCCACTGCTAACTGTACCTTACCTTTGGAGAGTGCCTCTAAACAGTGCCACCATGTGTTTACTGTATATAGTGTAAATAGTGCCGCACGTGCATCATACGAGTGGAAATGCCTCAGAGTGAGTCGTGAGAAGCAACGTACGGCGAGGAGGCCGATGGTAAATGTTATGACGAATGGAATATAACATTATGATGTGTATAACCACAGCGGCGGCGGCGGCGAGCGGAGCCGAGGCAGCAAAGAGCAGCGAAGATTCTCAGCCGTGATAATATTTCGGTCCCTCGTGAGTCCCTGGATAGCGAATGGGCGGAGGGCGCCAGGGACCCACACACGCCCCCGTCGGAGATAATCGCAGGGTGATAACCGTGTGTTAGTGTGATGAAAGGGGTCAGAGCAATGCACGTGATTCGGTGTTATCGGGAGAGATAGTGATGAATACGGTGGCTCTGGGACCGGAGTTGCCACATTGGGCGCGAGGGAGAGTCCGAAGCCAAGACCCAAGGCATTCGTGATCAGGGATTACACACGAGTCGCTTTTTTATTATTATTTTGAGTCTCTTTTTAGTAATATTTTGTTAACGAGAGATACGGTGATCGGATAATTCGTGGTGAGTGAAGTGCATGGGAATATCCACAGAAAAAAAACAGCAGAAAGAGGGAGTTCAGCTGAATCAATGAAATACCAAAGCCATAAACATTTAAACATTTAGTTTCAGCAACACAAGCGGATTTCTCGCTCAGTAATGTATCCGAAAATGATGTATTGGAACATTATTTAACATTATTGAAAAAGATTGTAATCAGTATGAACATCGTTATCCGTATTATTATTGTTATTATTATTATTATTATTATTATTATTATTATTATTATTATTATTATTATTATTATTTATTATTTAATTATTGTTATTGTTATTGTATTGTTATTATTATTATTATATTATTATTTATTATTATTATTATTATTATTATTATTATATTATTATTATTATTATTTATTATTATTATTATTATATTTATTATTATTATTATTATTGTTATTATTATTATTATGATTATTATTATTATTATTATTATTATTATTATTGTTGGTGTTGTTGTTATTATTGTTGTTATTATTGATATCATTATTATCATCATCATCATCATTATCATCTTTTCGATTATTATTATCGTTAATATTCCCCATTATTACACAACAATAATTACCATCATCACCAATTCCCTTATTATCACTATTACCATCATCATTATATCTGATGTTGTTATTGTTATTATCATTATTATTATGTTATTATAGTCTTATCGACAATAATTACCATCAGTGTTATTTTTTCTTATTCCTCTTCACATTATTATGATTATTATTGGCATTTTGGCATTATTGTCATTATTGATCATTGTCGTTATTATTATTTTGAACATTGTTATATATGATATTGATTATTAATTCTAGTAATAATGATAACATGATGATGACGCTGATGACATGATGATAAGACTAAAATTTTTATTTTATTATTATTGTTATTATTATTATTATTATTGTCATTGTTGTTGTTGTTGTTATTATTATTATTATTATTATTATTATTATTATTATTATTATTATTATTATTATTATTATTATTATTATTATTATTATTATGTCAGTATGTTATTATTTTGTCATAATTGTTATTTTATTATTAGTAATATTGTTAATGTATTGTTGTTATTTTAGTTATTGTTATTGTTTTCATTATTATTATTATTATTATTGTTATCATTATTATTGTTAATATTGTTATTAGTGTTACTATTATTATTGTTGTTAACATTGTTATTGTTATTGATTCATTGTCATCATCGTTATTATTATTATAATGACAGTACATATTATTATTATTGGTGTTATTATTCTTATTTTCATTATTTGTATTTTAATGATGGTTCATTTGTTGTTATTATTATCATTAATATTGTTCTTTTTATTCTTATTATTGTTATTATTATTATTATTATTATTATTATTATTACCACTATTGTTTTGGTTATTATTATTATCATCAGTATAATGATGACATTAATAATTATAGTTCCTCTTTTTGTTATTACCATTGTTATTATTACTATTATTTTTATCATCATTATTCTCTTCTTTTTTTTCTTCTTCTTTTTATTATTATTATTGGTATCATTATTATTATTATCATCTTCGTGGGTAATATTACATTTTTTATAATTTTCACCACTGTTATTATCATGATAATCATTTTTACTATTATTATTACTGTTTTTTCGTTTTGTTAATATTTATTCTTATAATATTGATTATCTTTATTTTTATTATTGTCACTATTTTTATTATTATTATTGATGTTCATATTATCATTCATTTTATATTATTATTATTATCATTATTATTATTATTTTTTTTTTATTGTTATTATTTTATTATTATTTCATATTATTATCATTATTATTATTATATCAATATTATCATTATTATTTATTATATTATCAATATTATCATTTTAATATTATTGATATTATTTATTATTATTATTATTATTATTATCATTATTTATTATTATTATTATTATTATTATTATTATTGTTATTGTTATTGTTATTTATTGTTATTATTATTATTATTATTATTATTATATTATATTATTATTATTATTATTATTATTATTATTATTATTATCATTATCATTATCATTGTTATTACTATCATTATGATAATGAAGATGATGGTGATTATTGTTTCTATTATATTATTTTTATATTGTTATAGTTGTTATTATTATCATCGTTATCAATATCATAGTTGCTGTAATGATAACAATGATTATTATTATTATTATTATTTTTATTATTACTATCATCTTCATTATTGTATTGTTATTAAAAATATTATTTTTTATTGACGTTCAATATCAGCAGCAAAATTATCATTATTATAGTTATCATTGGTATTATCGTTATATTATTATTATTACCGTCATTATTGTTATTTTTATTGTTATTACCATTATTATTGTTTTTACTATTAGTGTTATTATTATTATTATCATAATCGTGATTATCTCTATTTTTATCATTGTTTTCATTATTTTTGTAGTATTTTTACTATCATTATTATAATTATTTTAGTAATTGTATTTTTTTCATTTTTATTAATATATTGTTATTACTATTATTATTGCTGTTGCTGTTGTTATTCTTACTGCTATTATTTTCATTATTATCTGTACTGTCATTATTGGTATTATCATTATCGTTTTTGTTTTTATTATCTGATAAGTATTATTCAGTCATTATTATTACTATTAAATTATGATTTATAATAATGATAAGAGTAGTAGTTACGGTACTAATGATTGTTATTATTATTATATTGTTATTATTTATTTATTTATTATTTTATTATATTATTATTATTATTATTATTATTATTATTATTATTATTGATTTAATTTAATTTATTTTTTTATTATTCTCATTTTGTTATTACTATTGTCGTTTTGTTAATTATTATAATTGTTATTATTATCATCATCGTTTTCATTATTATTGTTATCAGTGTTTTTATTTTTTTATCATTATCATTGTTGTTATTATTATTATTATTATTATTATTATTATTATTATTATTATTATTATTATTATTATTATTATTATTATTTTTAATTATTGTTGTTATTATTATCATTATCATTATTATTGTTATTATTATTATGATCATTGTTATTATGATTATTATTATTGTTGTTGTTGTTTTTGTTGCTATTATTATTATTATTATTATTATTATTATTATTGTTGTTGTTGTTATCATTATTATTGTTATTATTATTATCATTATCATTATTACTGCAATTCTTATTCTTCTTATTATTATCATTACTATTATTATCGTCATCATCAATGCTGTTATATCATTGTTATTACTATTATCATTGATAGTACTGTTGTTATATCTCTGTTATTAACATTATTATTATTTCAATAATTAGTAATGTCATGATTGGTATTGTTATTATTATTATCATTATTATTATCTTTAATATTATTATGATCATTTTGATTATTATTGTTAATATTATTATTTTTTATTTTTTATTGTTCTTATTACTATTATTATTGTTTTTATTATTGTTTTTATTTTTTATTATTATCATTATTATTATTATTAATATTATTATTATTATTATTATTATTATTATTATTATTATTATTATTATTATTATTAGTGTTATTATTATTATTGTTATTATTATTGTTATTATTATTATTATTATTATTATTATTATTATTATTATTATTATTATTATTGTCCATCCTCATCCTCATCCTCATCCTCATCATCTTTACTACTAATATTATTATTAATATCCTTATTATCATCTGTATTAGTAATGATATTATTATTAATAATGTTATCATTAGGTTTGTTATTACCATTATTATTGATGATAATATTTTTATTGCCATTATTGTTATGTATTTACATCTTCATTTATTATTATTATTGTTATTATTATTTTATCATTATTATCATTATTTGTATTGATACTGTCATTGTTATTATTATTTCCATATTTTATTATCATAATGATCATGATTATTATTATTGTTGTTGTTATTATCATTATTGTTATTATTAATGTTTGATATCTTTATCCCGACCCTGATACCCTTTGATACCCCTTATCCCCCCTCCCCCCACATCCTTGCGATACCTCACCCCCTCTCCTCCCTTCCTCACCCTTATCTACCCCCCCTCCCCATCCTTCCCTTTTCCTTAGGCACAATCAGGCAGCGTGTTGATTCAATTAATATGATTCTATTTCTGTTCTGACCTGTCTGCCAGGCCCTCCCTCCCCTCTCTACCTCCCCCTCCCTCCCCTCTCTACCTCACACCCCTCCCTCCCCCTCTCTACCTCACACCCCCTCCCTCCTCTCTACCTCACACCCCTCCCCTTTCCTGTCACCCTCTCCCCCCTCCCCCCCACCCCTCTGTACCTCACACCCACCTCCCCTCTCCTGTCACCCCCCCCCCACCCGCTCGCCTCCAACCCCACGTGTCTGTCTTGGTATTGGTATTCAGTCAGCCTTTCGTGCCAAC